AAAATCAAAAATACAAAATTAGTATTTGTTCTCATTATTAGCTTCCACATTAATTGTGAATTTGGTTGTTTAACTGAAATAAAGATTATTAAAATATTTTTAAAATACCAATTCACCTCCCTATTGGGGTGTCATTCCAAAGTTCAATTTGTTTCACAACAATCAATTGAACTTTCAATTAGTATCAGAGTAAGTTTTCATGAATTATGGTTGAAAAACTTAGAGAAATATCTAAAAGCACAGTTCAGAAATAAAAATATTGTTCAAGGGTGTTTAATTACCCGTGCATCTTATTTCATAATATCTTGTTTGACTTTTGAAAAATTCGTATGTCTATTTTCTTTCAATCAATTGACTTTTGAATGTGACACATGGTACAAGTTAGTTATTTTGTTCATTATCGTATTATAAATGGCTTGAAAATATAAATTCTTTTTACTAAATGGAGTTTAAAAGATAAGGATTTTCTCAACTTAAAGCAAAATATTTGAATTATATATTGAAATATGATGACTATATATGTGTATTAGCACATATCACTAGAAATAATATTTTTGATAGGTTGTGCATTATATAGAAGATATAAATGAAGTGAAACAATACTATTTAAATGTGTTATTGCTTGCATATGAATTATTCCACATGAAACCTAGTGAAACTATTTCTGATATGTATACTAGGTTTACTAAGATAGTCACTTTCTTGCATGCTTTAGGTAGAGAACTTTGAAATCCTAAAAAAGTAATCAAGATACTATGCTGCCCACCTGATTCTTTTTATTCCAACGTCACTTCTATTTCTGAATCAAACTATTTAAATGAGTACTATATTGACAACTATTTGGGCTTTCTCTTTACTTACGAGCATATTGTGTACCAAATAGTTTTAGATACAGGTGAAAAGAAGAATGTTAGAATAGTGGCGCTGAAGGTTGATGATATAGATAGCACTAATTTAGGAGCTAATGGGAGCAAGGACATATCGTTGGTGTGGGAGATCTTCAGCTCGCAGAGGCTTTCTTATGTGGAGTAGGGTAAAAAAAGTGCTCTCATCTCCTTTTAATTAAAACAACGAGCGGGAGTCGGAGCTAGCTGCCACGAGGATTGACAGAAAGAAGATTCCAATCAATGTAAATTAATTTGCATTTAACATTTCCTCTATTTGGCACATGTTGTTTTATTAAATTTATATAAGTTAACTACCAAATTAGTGTTTTATCATTGCTACATTAATTTAGGATGACCATACTGCATTAGTTAAGTCAAAATTGCTCCGATTTGCAAGCTATTTTCTCGATTTGCGTGTTGATTGCATTGTTTTGTGTGGCAATTTCACTAAATAATCAAAACTGGACTAATTGATGGTGAACTTAGGGCATTACCGGTGTTCCAGAAACAACGACAAAGTCTGTTTGGCTATCGGGCGTCGTTTGAGCGACGTCAAGAGCTAATTTCCTCGAAATGCATGTTATTTCTTTGGAACCTCCTCAATTTGTATTCGTAGCCTCAATTGAATAAATTAGCAATCAATTTTGAGCATTGATGGCATTCCAGACACAACGGTGAAATCCGTTTGTATATTGGATGTCATTTGGACAGAGTCGAGTGACCTTTTCCTTAAAATTCGTACTTTGCCTTGGGATACGTATCAACCTTCTCACACATTTTAATTTGAATAAATTGGCTATCATCTTTGGGTATTTAGGACGTTCTGAACACAATGGAAAATTCCATTTTTCAATCAGACATCGTTTGGGTGATGTCGAGCGTCAAAATCCTCGATTTGTGTGTTGTCACCCTTAGGATTTGTGCCACCACTAGGTCTATACCAATTAATTAAATAAAATACATATTTTGAATATAAACAACATTTAAGATGCAATGACAATGTCCATTTTGTGATCAAACATCATTTGCGTGATATTGAGCATCAAAATCCTCGATTTGTGTGTCGTCGCCTTGAGATTTATGCCACCACGTCGTCCTATCCCAATTGATTAAATAAAATACATAATATGAATGTAGGCGATGTTCCGGACGTAACGGTGAAGTTTGTTCTGCAATCGGACACTGTTTGGGTGATGTTGCATGTCATTGCTTGGAGTCGGTCATAGCTTTGGATTGGTCTCACCCGATTTAAAGGCCTCGACCTAGAAGAATTTGATGTCACAATAGCAACGGTGTAGTCCGTTTGATAATTAGAGGTCATTCTACCTTTCAAGTGGTGTGTTTTGTCAAAGCGTGTGCCTCTAGATTCGTCGATTTCGCTCCCCTTGCGTGTGGTTCATTGTATAGGGGTCAACATGCATATATGCTTTTAGAGCATATTATCAACTGCATTTAGTCATTATATTGGTTGTACATTGAACTCTTTCACTTTGCAAGGTATCGATATGATTACTTGTATGCTAACTTGTATTGACTATGGAAGGGCCACACTTCAACCTGAATTTGATACTTCATTTGTGGCATGTCTCCTCTTGAACATGTCTTATATGTTAGCATTGACTACGAAGTGTTCTATTTATTGTGTAGCATCATGTTTATTATAATTATTTTGAGTCACCCCCTTGTATGAAATCTCATTTATGCTTATGAATGGCTCATACTTACAAATTCTTAGTCCACCACAAATTTTATATTTGTTCACTTTCATTCAATTGAGAATTTATCATTTTTACAAATCATATTTTCAATTAAGCATCATGTCATATTCCTTATGATCACATTGAGTTCAAGTCTAGTTTAGTGTACAACCTCAAGTCTTTTGCAGTTCACTTAGGTCCCTTATCATTATTCACTCGAATTCAAATTTAAGCTCATTATATTTCGCCTGAGTTTGAGATCTTTGTTATATGCATTAGAGTGAAGTTCCATGATGTCCAAATCAGGTCCTTGCTTGAGTTCAATTGCATGTCCAAGTACCATGTGGTCCAAAATTGATTCACATTTTATTTCAGTTAAATTTCATTTTACTTGGATTCAACTCTTTATTGATCACTTAGATTTTGTTCAGATCCAAGTTCAAGTCCAAAACAAGTCTCCCATTCAGTGTAATTTTTGGCAGCCTCCCGGGATCTCCCACCACACTAAAGAAAAGTATGTACGGTAGGTGTTGGATGACTCTGCGGCCATAAATCTTTAATCCCATCACGCTTAAAAAAGGCGTGTATGGGTCTTCAGGCACATGTTTGAAAATGCAATTCTTTTAATGTAGGTGATGAAGCGCTTAAGGGTACTTATATTCGTCCCCATCATGCTAGAGAAAAGCGTGTACAAGGGCTATTTGCCTCACAGTAGGCGTCGAACCGGATTCCCTTCCAACCACACTAGGAAAAAGTATATATGGACATTTTTTGGTGCGCCGCGAACGCCAAAAAAAGGGTTTTGAATTTTAGAAATATTATACCTGTGGGACGAGGCATATTGTGACGGCGGCGAAGACAAAAATATACAAAACCTCTTTTTTTGTATTTTCATTTCCTTTCTTTTTTTTTAATATTTCTTTTCTCTTTTTTTTTTTGTTTCCTTTCTCTCCTCCTTTTTCTTTTTCTTTTTTTTTTAATTTTTTTTATTTCTTTTCTTTTTTTTTAATACCATTTCTCTTTCTTTTTTGGCATTTTCTTCATCATTGTTATACACACACACATATATAATCTATCAATAATAATAACTAGATATAACAATCTAAATTTGAATTTCTTTATGTATTGTAGTTTAAGACTCCTGGCTTTTTTTAATGAAAAAAGAAAATGCTTTGTCAAGAAAATTTAGAATTTGAGAGAGAAACCTTGGTGGCTTGATACAAGGTCATGGTTTGGTGACCGTGCTTCACTTACAAATGACTTTGATAAGTTTGTGTCATGTCTTTGTGTGATTATCTTTAATTAAATTTTTATGAAACTTATGTGGAATATTTATGTTATGTTTAGCGTTATTTTTGAGAATTTCTCATAATTTGATTAACCCTTTTTCTCCATCCAAATCTCTATCAAAAGTGGTCAGACCGGCGTGTGGAGTTCCTAAACTGGTTGGGTTCTTTTGACCATTTGGTGGATCAAACCAGGTACTAAACTTGTGCAAATTTTAGGGACTGATCTCCCCATATATTTTTCCTTTGTTTCTATTATTTTGTGTTGGCCCAAAAAGGAAAAAAAAAAACCCAAACCTTAATATCTACTTTGTTATTTTTTCCCTTCTCTAGTAACTTAAAATTTTCCAAAAAGTAAATACCTAGATAATTTTAAAATTTATTAAAATTGATGTATGCTATCAATTTAAAGTGGAATTTTAAAAATTCACTAAATATTTTGAGTTCTCAAATTATTTTCCAACAAATGGTCATTTCTTGATATATTTAACCTAGGTTGAGTCTAAGGCCTAATTAACCCTCCTAAACTCCACTAATTGACCCCATCATATCCAAATAAACACTGTACATCATTTTGAACATTTTCTATCAGTTTTACAGTAAGATCTCATCACCAAATCATTTATCCATCTTTAAGAATATTAAATCTTGATATCTCATGTAAATATCTGTGTAAAAGTTTGAACTTTATCCCATTTTGACCAAAATTTTGTAAACAACATATGAAGAATCTCATTATTGTAAAATTTATTACTCTTTGAATCACCATTAAACCCATATAAGAACACAGTAAAGCTCCTTAATCAAAAATTTCCTCTAAAAAATACTCCTAAGATATTATCAATCAAAATAGCTTGCTTTTTTGGCAAACCCCAGCCCTTAAAATAATAATAAATCTCATCTGATCCATTATATAATTTAAGGAAAATCTCTAATGAGATTTGTCTCTCATCTTTTGGAGTAGTACATTCCTTTCCATCATAAGGTGTTTTGCAGCATACATATATATTATCTCAAAAATTTTAAAAGAAAAAGGTATGATGCGATAAACATTCATGAAATTAAACATAGTTTCATTCTAGAAAGCTCATAGGTGGTGCAATAGAGCAAAAGCAGCTTTAGAGAACCAAAAAACTTTTTATTTTGCTAATAACTGCATACATCAGCAAAACTCATAAGTGAAGAAGTACATATTTTGAAGATTTTACTAAAGGAAAAAAAATGGCGATAATGAATTTTATTTATACATGTGCATTGTTGGAAGACAAACACGTATTTATACACACGAACACACATATAATGAAATAAAATATGAGTAAGTTTTTATCTAAAAAAATTTGCATTGGGATTAATGATTTATAAGTATCCTAGTCATTCCAATGCGAACCCAAAGTTAAAACTCACTCTTCACATGAAATTATCTAGAATGACTGGCGAAGGCAATAACATTTGCTTTTTGTGAGAAATGGAGGCATACCCATGCGTTTTTCCCCTGATGTTGAAGATTCATGGTTCTGGTCATGTTGTAATTGTATAATAAGGGATGCTCTCAACAAGGTGCCAATAATCTCCACCAAGTTGGAATGGCCTTATAAGCTCATCATGGCCATTGATTCTTAGCCCAGAGAGTCTAGGAAGTTGTTGCTGGAGAGCCTTTGGTAGAGATCTCAATTTATTACATTCTGAAATTGTCAAATATTGAAGCTCAGTAAAGCATTCCACCCCTTCAGGCAAAGACATTAAGCCTTCGCATCCATCTAAGTTGAGATTGCGTAATTTTATGAGGCCCTCCGGTAAGGATGCTAGTCTCTTACATTTTGAAATTTTAAGATTTGTGAGGCCTTCCATCCCTTGGGGTAGAAAAACTAAACTATCACAACTTTCTAAGACAAGAGAGTCTAATTTTGTGAGGTCCTCAGGTAAAAAAACTAGTTTGTTGCATTTGAAAATATAAAGAGTTGTGAGGCTTTCCATCCCTTGAGGTAGAGATGTCAAGTCATCACATCCACGTAGGACGAGTTCCTGCAATTTTGTGAGGCTTCCCGGTCCTGACAAGGACTTTAGTCTTTTGCAATCTTTTATTTTTAAACTGCGGATGGATGGAAAGCATGCTGGCAAATGAACCAAGCTTTGGCACTCACATATGCAATGCTCTTGTAACCGAGGAAGTCTTGGCCCTTCATTTAATGTGAATGAAAACAAGTCAGCAAGATTTGGGCTGCAAAATCCTAGCCTCAAAAATTGAAGGGAGGGTATAGTTGGAATGGTTGTCAACTTCTTGCAGTTATAGATAACCAATGTCATCAAGCTAGGAAAGAACTGCCTATTAGTAATAACTTGTGCATTGCTTTCATCTACCTCCCACCAATCCTCTAAATTTTCCATGTGAATCATTTGGAGCTCTTTCAATAAAGGGAATAATGTTGTATTCAATTCACCGTCGCACCATGTTATTTTGTTAATAAAATGCTTAACATCATCCATGTGGAATAGTTCTAGCATCTCCAGGAATGGTAGCTTCCCAAGTGGCGGGAGCTCCTTGCACTTTCCACAGTCATGGAGCCTGATTTGGACAAGGTTTTCCAATTGCTTAGGAACATTCATCCATTTGGGAAATTTCTGACCACCATAGTTCCATACTTCTAACATCCTTAATCCATCATGTGGTTTCAATGCTTCAAATACCTCTAAAGAATCTGCTCCTTTCCAAGAAAGCTTAATAGAATGAAGGTTTATCTTGGATGAAAGGTCTGCATCTTTTGCATCTATTACATTGCTGACCTTGTCAATCCCATAAAGCTCAAGTGTACCACCAAGATTCAAGTCACGGAGCTGTTCTAAGCCCCTCCCAACTTGAGCACTCACAATATACATTGTTAGTGTATGCAACAACTTCAAACGCCCCATCCCTTTTGGCATGTGAACCAAGTTATAACATCCATCAATATAGAGACGTCTAAGATTCACCAAATCGGTCAAGTTTTCTGGTAACTTCTTTAGCATCTCACAACCGGATAGTTTCAATGTTTGAAGATTGTAAAGAGAACATATGCCTTCAGGCAATTCCATAATGTATGAAAAAGACAAATCCAGCAACCTCAAGTGTCTTAAATGCCTTACACTCATAGTCTTATTAAAGAGCTTGACTTCTGAGCTTAACACCCTCAAAGACTTCAACATTGATGGATACTTACTTGGTAATTCTTGTTCAAGAAAATATTTATTTGACCCAATTATTGTACGGATTGTTGGAAGGATCGGTGAGCTCCTTGGACTTGTTAATTCTGGAAATGATGGTATCAACAAATGCCTGGTAGTAGATGGGATATCTTCCCACTTTGGAGCATGAGCATGTGCAAAGTTTAAGCACTCTTTCCCCATGATCGATTGTGCAAGATCATGCATCAAATCATGCATTTTACATGTTACTATGCTACGATATCCATATGAGTTGTCCTGCCTGTAGTTTGATCTAACTTCCTTCACATTTTGGAAAAAAGACCTCCAAACTAGCTCATCAAATATCTCTCTGCCCATCGCTTCCAAGTCCCCTTTTTCATGATAAGGAATATATCCATTTGCCATCCACAACTGAATAAGTGTTTCCTTCTCCATCTCATAAGCTTTTGGGTATATGGCACAAAAGGCGAAACACCGCTTCAAGTGAGAAGGCAAGTAATTATAGCTCACCTTCAAAGCTGGCAAGATATTGTCCTTTGCAACCTGCATTTTCCATATATCACTATTCAGCACAGCCTTCCACTCCTCTTCATCATTCTTGAGACGCAACATGCTTCCAAGTGCATCAATTGCCAAGGGAAGCCCCCCGCAACACTTTATTATATCCTTACTGATTTTAACAAGGCTTCCAGTCTCTTCTGCTCCATCTCCAAATGCCCTCCTTTTGAACAACTCCCAGCTATCTTCCTCGTGTAATTGTTTCAGAATATGAATGGTATGTGTGGCCATCATCTTTGCTGCAACCATGCTCCGTGTGCTAACAACCACAGTGCTTCCTTCTCCACCACAATCCAACAATGTCATCAACCTTTTCCATTGGATCGGATTTTCATTCCATACATCATCTAGAACAATTAGATACCTTTTCCCAGTAATTATTTCTCGGAGTCGGTACTGCAACAGCTCCATATTTGAAAGCCTGCACTCTTCTTTGGTGGCCGCTTCTATAATTAGTCTGACAAGCCGGATGTCATCAAAATCGGCATCAGAAACACATACCCAAATGAAAAGCTGGAAATGATGCTCCACCCTGCGGTCACTGTAAACCAACTGGCTGAGTGTAGTTTTTCCCATTCCACCCATTGCAACTATGGGAAGTACCGCAATTTTCCTGTTGTTGCAACCATCATGATTGATCAAGAAACTCACTATATCTTCTTTATCTTCTTCCCTACCGATGATGTTTTCTTTGTCAACATAAGAGTGCGTTTGAGGCCTACCAAAAGAGATCCGTACCTCTTTGTTGAGTTGGAAATTGAACTTGTGGATTTCATCTGCTATTGCCTCTACTTTTTCTATGATATGATTCAGCCTCCGGCACAAGCTGAACCGAGTCATGATGGGTTTGTAAAAAGAGAAGTAGAAGAATACCTTCCTTCTCATATTGTTGTCCTGGATGCGTGACCTGCGCTTCCTTTGGGCTTCAAAGTCAAAGACTTCGAGTACGTCCTCTGCTTCGTAGGCTAAGTCCGTCAAATCGGAGAGCCAGTTCTTGATGGATGTTTCGGAGTTCTGCCTCCCCTCTGCGTCTACGAGCACAGATTGTATACTCTCCAAAATCCTTTTCAGCTTCTGCAGCTTCTCGTCGGTACCAAAAGCAGCGCCGACTTGCTGGATGGCAGGGGAAATAAGCTTGTCTAGGATGACCGGCAAGAAGGCAGAGAGGATGAATTCGCCGGCCATGGAGGAGCGGAGAGGATTTGATCAAAAGTTGTTTTGTGATGGCGAAAGAGATGAGAAGCGAAGCTTGAGTTATCTCTGTAATGAAGCAACAGAGCAAAGGAAAGAAAGGATATTTCTCGTGGCCCTGTAGACTAGTCGGAGTCTTGGTCTTTTGGGAAGACTTTTTAACGTTTCTTTTTTTTGAAATTGCCTACTACGATTATTTTTAGAGAAATTACGTGATTATCATAAACTTTTTTTTTGGAAAATTCTGTGCAAAGCCCTTTCAATTAAAAATGAACTAGTTACATGTAATAAAGAAAAACCTGTAAAAGAAAAAATCTTGCCCAAAGAGGCCAAGGCCCAAAAATGGGGTAACAACAAAATCCCCATAACAGTGGAACTACTAGGGGTGTCAATTTCGGGTCACGAGTCGGGTTCGGGTCGAACCCGGAAATGACCCGGCACTATTCGGGTCAACCCGAACCCGACCCGTTTTTACAAACGGGTTGATTTACCGGACCCGAACCCGACCCGCTTTGGGTTCGGGTCAACCCGACCCGACCCGCGGACACGGCAAGGCCGGGATCAGCTTCAGCGCGGCAGCAGCGTCCGGCGGCAGCGGTGTCCAGCGGCCACCGGCCACGACGTCCGGCGTCCAGCGGCATCGAAATCGGGTCGGGTTCAACCCGAATTTTCCGGGTCGGGTTTTCGTGTCGTGTCAAATATTGACACCCCTAGGAACTACCAAAAGAAGAGAAAACAAAAAACAGGAAGAGGGAGGCAAACAAGCCCCGGGCTCAGGAATTGCCGCTCTCTCAACCTGGTTGCAAAAATAAGACTCCGAAAAATCCTGCCATCCAAAGGAGAAAATGACAATCCAATCATCCTTGCCCATCTTCCACAAGAAAATCTCCATGAAAACCACAAAACTGTAGAAAGCAGACCGGAGGGACCAACCAGAGAATCCAGCAAAAATACCAGCCATAGCAGCAGCTTACCAAGCATATAATCAATGGATACCTTGCACCAACATCAGAGCAAAAAGGCTTACAGCAAATCCATAAGTTTATCTCCAGATTTCCATTTCATAATTTTAGAAAAACAGCTACTTTGATTTTATAAACTAAAGAGGTGGACGATGCAGAATTGACACCAAACTTCCTATCATTTCTTTCCCTCAATATATGGTAAACCGAACAACAAATAAGGAGATAATAAAAATCCTTATTCATAGTATATGTATCATCAATATACTCAAAAATTTGCAAAATGTTGGGTCTCAGTAGTAAGAACCCAAGATTACTCATAAGCTTAGAGAGTATAGAGAAGGAGTAGTCACACTCAAAAAATAAATAGCTGACAGTTTCGTTAGAGCTGTGACATAAAGCACATATGGCTTTTACATTAATCCCGTTAGCAATGAGAGAATCAGTAGATTTTAAGCCCCCCAGTAATAGCCATCCAGCAAAATGAAGAATATCTAATAACATACCATTTGTGCCACACAAAATTCCACTAGTTTACCATAGCATAGTCTTTAAAATAAAACTCTCTATAATCTCTGTGCTTTGACTTCTTACCATTACCCCAATATAGGTTAACATGAGTTTCCGGAAACACAGGAATTTCATAAAAAGCACAATGAACTGCTTCAGGCAGTGAAGCAAGTAAAGCCTAGTTTGTCCCCTCAATAATTACATAAATTCTCACATTCACAGGAAAAGTGTTAAGGATGGGCTTAACTTCCCCAACATCTCTAAGGCATTTATCTTTCTACCAATGATCCCAATAAATAGCAAAATTAGAGTAGGCATAAACTCTAAAATGAAAATTCTCTTTGGAAAAGTTAGCATCTCTACACACATTATTCCAAAACTTAGATGCATTAGAAATAGGCTCCTTCCAGGGTGAAATATAAGCATTAAACAACCAAATACTCAAAGGACTATGAGTATTATATATTCTAGTAATGAGAGAGCAGTTGAAACTGAATTGGAGAGATTGTAGAGATGGTAAACCAATGCCCCCATCTCTTTCAGCTTACAAGTATTCCTCCAAGATATTAAGTGCAATTTTTTAGCATTGGTGTCACCAAAATAAAGGAATTTAGCACTTAACCTATCAATTTGCTTAATAATAGTTTTCGGTATTATACCTCCACGAATCCAGTAAGCAATCGTATTCCAAATGGTGTACCTAAGAAACTGTAGCCTACCAGCAAACGATAGAGCTTTAGCCTTACAACCTGACAGCTTATTTATAACACTTTCCAGGAGTTGAGAAAAACTAGCCAGCTTAAGATTATATGGAGATAGAGGTATCCCAAGATAGTTCATACTAGAGGAGGTAGTAGTGATGTTTAAAGAGGCGCAAATACTGTCAGCAATAGCACAATTAGAAGGCAGAATGATGGAACTTTTCCCAAAGTTCACATTAAGACCCGTTGCCAAAGAGAATTCCTTAAGGGTTTGAAAGAGATTGTCACAATTATTTAGATCTGCTTTCCCAAAAAGTATCAAATCATCAGCATACATAAGATGGGACAGTCTATAATTTCCAATAGAGAGGGCATCAAAGTTGTTTTCATGAAGATTACAGTCAAGCAAGCAAGAAAGAGCATCCATCACAATGCTAAAGAGATATGGGCTAAGAGGACACCCTTGCCTTAGCCCAAATTTAGAAGAGAATAAACCTCCCAAAGCCTCATCTATGCATAAGGAGAACCATACATCCTTAATGCAAGCATCTATCCATTCCACAAACATTTTAGGAAAGCCTTTTTGCACCATTCTAGCTATAAGAAATTCTCTTGAAACACTATCGAAGGCTTTTTTAATGTCTAGCTTAACACACATAAGCTTGAAATTAGAAGTTTTCCTAGAATGCTAAAGAATTTCATTAGCAAGAAGAACATTGTCAGTAGAAATCCTATTTTTAATGAAACAAGCTTGATTGTCTTTTATAATGTAGGGCATTATAGGCTTCATCCTAGCTGCCAAAACTTTAGCAATGATTTTGTAAGAAGTATTACAAAGAGCAATGGGGAAAAAATCAGAAATAGTCTCGGTATGACTAGATTTAGGAATAAGAGTGATGGTTGTGGACTTTGCCGTACGAGGAATGTAGGAATTATGATGGAAACTCTTGATAGCATTGCATACCGTAGGACCAATAACCACCCAAGTAGCTTTAAAGAACTCAAAGTTAAAGCCATCAGGTCCAGGAGTGGAATTGGAAGCACCAGAAAAACTGCTTTTTTAATTTCTAGCAGTGGGAGAATTAATAAAATCAGTTGGAATAACATTACCAGGGGGAAGCAGTTGATATCAAAGTCCATATTCTGAGGAGCATTAAAGAGATTTTGAAAGTAAGAGATAGAGTCTTTGATAGCATCAAACATAGAGGCATCCGTTTTAGACATAGCTAAAGTTATAGTAGTTTTTTTGTAGTTCCTCCTCATACAGATCCTAGCATATAGAAATTTTAGATCATCATCTCCCTGAGTTAACCATTTGGTTTTTTCCCTCTGCTTAATCCAAGAAAACCACATAGAAGAAGCTTCCTCCAATTGTTGATTGATATTTTTCATCTCTAAAGAAGTATGTGTAATATTCTCAACGGTATTCAAGCTGCCAAGATAAGCAAATTGTTTATCTTGAAGCAGCTTAATGTGACCAGCCATCATATTAGAAGTAGCCTAGCTTTTACCTCTTATGGAAACTTTCAGTTGCTTGAGTTTAACACAAAGATCAACTAAAAGATTACCTTTAGCCTTGGCAGCAAAAATATCAAACAACAAATACCAAAACTGATCACATTTAACCCAATAATTTTTTTATTGAAATCGATGCTTAGTGAAAGAGTTCTCCCTGGACTTTAGGATAATTGGACAGTGATCTGAACCATCAGGGTTTTTTATCATGTAGTAAGAGTCGGGGAAGGATCGAGGACACCCAGTATTCATTGACCAACATACGATCTAATTTAATGTGTCTAGGACTATTAGTCTGTTGATTATACCAAGTATAGGAAGGTCCTATAGAAGACAAATCTCTAAGATTAGTGTCAAAAATAACACTATTGAAATCATAAAGCTGATTTTGATGTAGCACATTTCCACCAATTTTCTCAGAAGGAAACCGTCAGCATTTAAAGTCACCCATCATAATCCATGGAACACCCCTAGATGGAGAGATGTTTCTCAAATCCTCCCAAAGAGCTTTTCTCTCTACCTGATGGTTAGAAGCATAAATCACATAAAGAAGAAATGGAGTACTAGAGCCGTAGGAAACCATTCCAGCAATATATCATTTGAGAGGAGAAAAAGCAAGGTTGAAATGACAGTCTATCAGGGCACCATTTAATCCATATCCTACCCGGGTTTGCACAATGAAAATTGTTGCAACTTGATTTCATATCACAAACCAAGTGATTGTTGTAGAATCTCATGTTAGAGAGATTTGAAAGCTGTATTCTATTTTCTAGAATACAAATCATGTCCAGTCGAAGAGACTGAACTAACATTTTGTAGAAAGAAACCTTATTAGAGGAAGAAAAGCCTCTAATATTCCAAGCCGCTATAGATGGACAGATCATTTACATTTTGAAGAGGAGGCGGGGGGCTTTTTTGAACCCTTTCCCCTTGTTATTTTTGGGAAGGGATGACTTACTTTTTTTTCTCACTCGAATTAGATATCGGCTCCGAGAAAGAAGAACAATCATTTTCAGAACCAGAAAAGGCTAACTCCTCAATACCCTGGAGAGACGAATACTTATTACTCATCTGAACACTTGGTGGGTTTAAAGTAGTGATTTGAGCTAAATCGGTCTCCCCTATACATTCATCAGTAGGAGAATTAAGATTTGGAATAGGCAGGCTAGCAAGAGCAACAAAAGCACTGTGTGAAGAGATAGGATTTTCAGAGATGTTGCTAGCAGGAATGGCAATCTGGGGCTCAGTAGAGGGCCCGGTATTTTCAGGTACCACATTGTTTTTACCAGCTGCAGTAAGATCTTTGGGAATCCAAACTACCTGAGTGGGAACCAAAGCTAGATTTGAAGGAGAAGCGACTTGGTTAGGAATCGAAGGGTTGGAAGGAGTTGTATTATTAGCAACCTCATTCACATTTTTGTGATGCA